ACGTGTCAAGACGTCAGATGATTGAGGCGGAGGCTCAGCTCTTTGGAGGCACGTTACAGAGCCACGGGAATGAGCAGTTCTCAGACAGGCAGACACGAGGGCAGAGGGGGTGCACGAGCAGTGAGGTACGTGGCGCACAGGACGTCCAAAACCACAGGAATGAGGCACCAGGCTCCTGGCCCTGGGCTGGCACCCAGGCTTAAGTATCATGTGTCATGGGGGATTCAGAGGGTTCAACAGGTGGGGGGCGCGCTGTCCTGGCACCCTGGTGACAACAGGAGACAGAGAAGGGGCAGGTCACCCGACCCTGGGCATGAGGGAGGGGGCTGCACAGGCACTCAGGTCCCCAGACTGTGTCCCCCAGGCACTCTCAGGCGTGGGGCGTAGAGATTCTGATGCCAGGGTTCCCGATGAACACAAACCCCCCCAGACAAGGTAAATGGGGTCCACACAAAGCTGTGGGGCATTGGGCCCCAGCCATGAGGTCCCCAAGGCCCTTGGGGGATGAGGTCAGTGCGGGGAGGACACGGGGAACTGCCGTCCTCTGACACGGCGGCTGCGGTAGCAGCCATTTGAGGAGTGGGTTACACGCCCCCAGACTTCCAGGTGACAGGAAGACACCCAGACACTTCAGGACGTGGGGTTTTCATCGCCAAAATCCAGAGGCAAATTCTCGGAGGATAGGAATTGAGCCCACGGATTCAGCACCAGCCATGTTCAGAGGAGTGGGGTGCAGGTCCCAATGCCCAAGATGGAGCAGAGCCTCCCAGAGACTCGGTGATGGGGTACAGCCTCCCCGGAGGCTCAGATCTTGGGGTGCAGCCTCCCCAGATGCCTGGTTGATGGGGTACAGCCTCCCGGGATGAAGAGGCACAGACAGTATGCTTGAAAGGTGAGTGTGGCACATACAAGCTAAGACACAGAGAATGGGCACAGGGCATCCCAAACCACAGAGAACCATGGCAAGCTGAACTTCGCCATCCCCAGCCATCCCAGGCCCCAGTTGATGAGGGTGCCTCAGCCCTGCGGGGCGCAGCAGCTGGGGTCAGAGTGGGCGGGCAAACACACGCTCACTCAGCAGACTTCTCTTTGTGTGCCAGTGATTCCTGGCTCCCCAGAACCAGCGTTCGCCTTGCATTCCAACCTCAAGCATTCCCCAGGCGACCTCAGAGGAAGCGTCCCCGTCCAGGAGCCCCACCAGGGTCTCCACGAAGCTGCTGGCTGCCAAGCCGCCGTCTCGGGGCCTCGGGGCTGGCCTCGGGCTCCAACTCTGTTTGGTTTTCTCCTTCCTGCCCTGGAACCTCAGACGCCCGTCTGGCCGTGAAGGCGCCCATATACTGGGGAAGGTACAAAGCCCCTACACAGCTGGCTGCAGAGAACTGCGCGCGGGGCACGTAGCTCAGCTGTACCCTGGGGCCGGCGTCGAGCCACCCCCTGCACGTGTCCCCTCGCTTGCCTAAAAGCCCCACTAGGGCAGCCTCCGGCCCTTCTCATCCCAGACGGGGTCAGACTAGGAGACAGACCCCTGCCCTGTGCAAACACCAGAAGGACATACACATCCCCACACGCCCAGGGCCGCGTGTGACCGGAGGGAGGGGCCCAGAAGTGCACACGTGTGCCCACACGTCCCCCTGCTGTGGCACAAAAACATCCTCAGGGCCTGGGCTATGTCCTCCATCCGTGCTGCCTGACCAGCCCCACAGGGCCGGCCCTGCTGGGACAGGTTTTCCCGTTAAGCATTAACCGGCAGCAGATAAAGGCTCTGAGGGAACGCCCTGGCCTGGGGTGGCCACTCCACGGTAGGCCCGGGTCACGGATTTGATTAGAGTGACCAGACCAGACTGACCAGCCAGAGCAGAGGGAGGGAAGCTTAGGCTATAGGCCCTGCTCGGGGGTCCAACTGAAGCAAGAGGCACTGAGGTGAGATCGGAGTGAGGACTTCCGGCCACTCGCCCAGCTGATAAGGGGGTTGCTCATTAGGAAACCAAGAACTCAAGGGGTTGGGTTAGTCCAGGAGGAGCCAAAGGCACGGAGGGGAATGGCCTGAGGGTGCCTGGGGCTGGAAGCGGAGGCAGCGGCAGAGCCAAGCAGGCCCTCCAGGCTCTCTGTGAGCCCCCTGCCCCACACTGCCCAGGGCAGCCCCACCTGACTCCTACCCTCCTCACACTTAGTTCCCCCACGACCCACAGCACCTGAGGTGCCCTCTTCCAAGCCAGGCGGCCCTGCACCTCAGGACCCCTCCCGGCGTGCAGAACCCGCTCAAACCAGGTTCAGCCAGGCCGCCTCCTGCTGCCCCTCACCAAGGCCAGCCTGAAGGGCCCATCACCCCCTCCTGCAAAGCTGCGTAGGGCTCAGGGTGCCCCCAGCCCCAAGAGACCCTTGGAAACAGGCTGGAGCCCAGATGCTCGGCCTTTGCGCCTCGGGGAGACCTTCCTAACGCGGGGAGTTGCCCAGTTCTCACGGGCCAGCAGTTGTGGCCACAAGGTGGGGCTCCTGCAGCCCTGCCCCCCGCACCCCTCCTCCCCCAGGAGAGAGTTCCCCGTCACCAGAGGCAGTGCCGTCCGAGAGCTGGACTGGCCTCCGGGTGTCTGAGAGGAAGGCCTGGTGGCTGGCCGGCCACAGGAAGCGGTGGGTGTCAGGTGAGAGCTTTCACACCTGGGGGGCTGCCAGCCCCCGCACTCGGGGAAATCTTGCTTTTCCAGAGGAAGGGCCGACGGAAAGGTGCTCCCACGGAAGCAGAAAGCATTCCATGTAGACTCACCGTAGAGGGAAGCATTAGCAAGCCTGAAACAGTGCCTGGTCTTGGGCTAACAAGAAGTCTAAAGGAGGGGCTCACCCCTGTTCTGCCTGGTGGGGGCTGGGGGTTCCAACGGGGTGGGATTTAGCACAAAACTTCATGGCAGGTCTGGAGGTCCTTGGGGTGACCAGGGAGGGCTACCTGGAAGAGATGGGCTCACACTGGCCTTGGAGGGCGAGCAGGATGGGGATGCGGAGCAGCTTGGCAGCTGCAGGAGCAGAGCAGCCACCTTCGTGGGGACAGCGGAGCTGCCTTCCAGAGCCTTGAGGAGCCTCCTGGAGCGGTGGCCAGGCGGGGAGCCAGGGAGGAAGGACCCGTCTCCCTTTCCTGGGAAAACATGGTGTGAACTCCCAGAGAAGGTCTTCCCAGCAGGGCCACAGGAGATGGACAGCCAAAGCTAGACAACGGGGAGAGCGGCCCCGGAGGCTCAGGCAGGGAGAGCGGGGAATTCCCAGATCAGGGCCGGGAGACCTGAGAACCCCCAGCACCCAAGGGTCTCCAGGGCGCTGTCCCCAGGAGCCGGGAGGGAGGCCGGGTCCTGAGGGGTGGACGGCGCCACCTGGTGGCCACACGCCTGCTGTACCTGCACCTCCTTCGGGTCCCGGCGGTCCAGAGGGACCCCGCACCTCCCCAGGCCTTGGGACCCTCAGCGTTGGCAGCCAGCGCTCCCAGGGTCCTGGGGTACTCCAGAACAGCTTCTGGGTGGCCCCTGTGCTCCTCGGGGGACAAGGTCACCAGGCTGGCCCAGGAGTGCCGCTGGCCGGCTGCAGCTAATCACTGCAGGGGTGCTCTCATCTCCCCGCCCTGACCGTTCTTAGACTAAAGGAGGGGGGGATGCCAGCAAAGCAGGGGCACAGGGGAGGGGTGCACACACACGCACACATGCCTGCACTCACAGATGCAGATTCTGTATTGGCAACTTATCCGGAATCTCAACCATAAAAATCTCCAGTGAAGCTACTTTAATCTCAGCACGTACACAGGCTCTGACATTTCAAAAGGAGAAGTTGCCTTTAAACTCCACGTGGGGAGGAGGCAGTGGCCTGTTTGAATCTGGCTGGCACAGTCCTGCTCCGGGGACCCTGTGGACCCAGCCCATTCCATCAGCCACCAGTAGGGGCGCTCCGCCAGCCACGTGTGGGACGCCCAACCCACTGGGAGTGTCCCCCAGGGGCCGAGGGGCTGCCGAGGCCAGTACACCCACACTCCATCTGCAGGTGACTCACGCAAGTGGTCCCCCGAACAGGAGCAGCTCTGTCATTTGTGAGGCCCAGTGCAGAATGAAAATGTGCAGCGTCTTGTTCCAAAATTAAGAATTTCAAGATGGCCCCAGCACGCATTAAATCAAGCAGGGACCTCTCTGAGCATGGGGCCCTGTGCACAGGATGCAGCCTGGAAAGCTGGCCCTGACCTCCGCATCTCCTTTTGTACCTCTAATCCCTCCACACTGCTGGCCCCTCTGCTCTGGGGACAGGCTGGACTTCCAGGGCCATGATGGCCTCCAAAGCCACAAAACTAGAGCTCCCAGCCTCGGTCCACTCGCCTATAAAACACCTGGCCTGCTGACCTCACAGGGACAACATGCGTGTGGGGCTGGAACCTGGACCCTCCCTCCCCTCTTTGAGCTGCAGCCCCCTCCTCTGAACACTGGGAGTTTGGGTCCGTTCTGGGAGTGCGTCTGCCTCTCCCAGCCTGCCAAGGAGTGGGGCACTGATGCTGTATGCGTGTGTGCACGCGTGTGTGTGTGTGTGTGTGTGTCTGGAGTCAGGGTGGGGTCCCTTTCTGTCTGTCTACTTGCTCTGCCCCAGACTGGGGGGCTGCAGAGGTGAGGGTATCTGGCCTGAACAGCTGCTTATTCCCAAAGGGAGGGCCCGGACTGGGCCCCTAAGGCCAGGCTGACTTGGACATGACGAGAGGGCCCCAGGCTCTTGTGGGCAAAGCAGGGGAGACGCCGACGTGGAGGAACAGAGTCTCCTGGCCGGCTGCTTCTCTCCGGGGCGGGTGGAGTCAGGGAAGAGCTGAGCTGGGGAGTCACCCCGGGCCCAGGGTCACCGTGGGCCCCATGTGGCACCCTGGTTCCCCTGCCTGTAGGTGGGAGGAGCCAGTCTGTCCAGGTGTGCTCCCTCCCCAGGCCCCAGGAAGGCGGGTACAGGGGCCAGCAGCTGCACCCACCCCACCCTCCTTCCCACCCACATGCCGAAGGGTGGCCAGAGGCAGGCAGGTGGGCGAGTCCAGGCGGCGGCTGAGTCAGTGTGTGAGGAATGTTCTGGCCGCTCCCAGCTGCGCCCTGCCCCTACCTGCCCCCACCTCACCTTCGTCCCCAGGCGCTGTGGCCCTGAGCCCCTGCCAGGAATGCACCTTTAGCTGAGGCCTGCTCAGTGAGCTCCCCCAACAGCCAGCCCTGCTCCTCGCCCCACGACCCTGCAGACCCCTCTGGGCTTCCATGTTCCTGGGGGCTGCAGTGAACATGCTCCATCTGCATGGCTGGAAACCACAGTGGGCCCCAGCTGTGGTGGGTCCTGGGGTAGGGGCAAGGAAGTGATGGGACCGCAGAGATGAGACCCCCAGGGATGGGATGGGACCCCCCAGGCAGGGCCCAGGGTCCAGGACCCGGGAGAGAGAAGCAGGGAGGGAGAGGGCTTCCTGGTGGAGGAGGCATCCTACAGTGGGGGCAAGGGTGCTCTGAGGGCCGGTGAAGGCAGGGACTAGGCTGCCCAGGCCCTGCCTGCTTGGCTGGGGCTGGGGGCTGTGGGGAGGTGGCCAGGAGGCTGGGCCTGGGCAGCTAAACTGGAGCTTTGGCCAGGGTCCAGAGCCTCCCTCCCTCCAGCTTCCTGCCGTGCAGAGCCCTCGCCCCTGGCCACCCTAGGCTGCTTCCTTGCCCAGGCAGACCCAGCACTGGTTGCTGCCAGGCAGATGGGGTACCGGGCAGGGGCTGGAGGGGCCGCCCTCCCAGCTGACCCAGCCTCCTGGGCCGCTTCCTCCAAACCAGCAGGGTGGAAAGATGGGGCACCCACCAGACTCTCCCAGTGCCCTGGCCCCAGCTGGTACCACAGCTATACCTGGGCTTATTCCAGACCTCATCGCCGGGACCCCTTGTGAGTTGTGGGACTCCCAAGAGGGGTGTGGGGATAACCCAGCCAAGTGGGGGCTGCAGCTGTCCATAGATGCACTCAGCCCAGCCTCTACCCCAGGGCCCCGCTGGGCTCTCATTGCAGGCGCCCTTGCCGCGGGCGTCCTCGTCGTCTCCTGCCTCCTCTGTGCTGCCTGCTGCTGCCGCCGCCGCCACAGGAAGAAGCCCAGGGACAAGGAGGCGGTGGGTCTGGTCAGTGCCCGTGGCACCACCACCACCCACCTGGTGAGGAGTGGCTCCTTCTCGCTCAGTCCAGAGAGGGCTCGAAATCCAGGTTCCAGAGCCCAGGGCGGCGAGGCGAGTTCAGCCCCGGGGACGGTTTAGCCCCCACAGAGGCAGGGGCGGCGAGGGCCTTCCTGGCAGGGAAAGTGGGTGAACAGAGGTGAGGAGGAGGTCACGCAACAGGGGCTGCTCCATGGGCCCAGGGGAGCCACAGCGGGTTCTTGAGGAAGGCAAGGGATACCACAGACCCCACGTTTGAGGTGGGTTTGGCCGGTCTCACACAGCACACAGCGAAGCCGAGGGTTTGTGCCTGTCAGGTGGCCTGGCCTGTCATGTAGTGCTGCCCGGGAGCCCAGGGCTCTGATGGGGCATGATGCCAGCACCACCTGCCCCTTGTCCCGACTCACTCCAGGTGCAGCCTGATGTGGATAGCCTGGAGTCCAGTCCGGGGGGCGCTCAGCAATGGGGGCGCCTGCAGCTGTCCCTGGAGTACGACTTTGGAAGCCAGGAGGTGAAGGACCTTGCTGTGCAGGACCAGCGGTTCTGCGAGTTTCCGGAAGGGGTGATGGGTGGAGTGCAAATCCTGTGCCCTGGGTGGTGGGGAGCTGACAGGGCAGGGGCCCTTGGCTGAGCCCACCCCCCTGGCTCCCAGATCAGGGTGGGCCTGAGGCAGGCAGCCGACCTGAGGCCTGGGGGCACCGTGGACCCCTATGCGCGGGTCAGCGTCTCCACCCAGTCCGGGCACAGACACGAGACAAAGGTGCACCGAGGCACGCTCTGCCCTGTGTTTGACGAGACCTGCTGCTTCCACGTGAGTCAGGGATGGTCGGCTGGGTGGGCCTGGACAGCTGGGTGGGCCTGGGCTGGGGCAGCAGGGCCTGGCTCACGCCGCTGCCTCAGATCCCGCAGGCGGAGCTGCCGGGGACCACCCTGCAGGTGCAGCTTTTCAACTTCAAGCGCTTCTCGGGGCATGAGCCCCTGGGTGAGCTCCGCCTGCCACTGGGCACCGTGGATCTACAGCACGTTCTGGAGCACTGGTACCCGCTGGGTCCGCCGGCTGCCACTGAGGTGAGGCGCTGATCACCAGGTCACAGCCCAAGGCAGAGCTGGCAGGGCCCTGAGGCCTGGTGGGCAGCAGCTGCGGGAGCCTGAACCCCAACTCGGCCAGAATCACCCTCCCGGGCTGAAGCCCCTCTTGCTGCCCGCAGCCCGAGCAGGTGGGAGAGCTGTGCTTCTCTCTCCGGTACGTGCCCAGCTCAGGCCGGCTGACCGTGGTGGTGCTGGAGGCTCGAGGCCTGCGTCCAGGACTGGCAGGTGAGGGTCACACCTGCCCATACTGGTGTACAGAGCGGGGCTTGTGCTCGGCCCTGAGCCCTGGGATGCCCCTTCGGCACCTCTTACCCTCTCAGAGCCCTACGTGAAGGTCCAGCTCATGCTGAACCAGAGGAAGTGGAAGAAGAGAAAGACAGCCACCAGAAAGGGCACGGCTGCCCCCTACTTCAACGAGGCCTTCACCTTCCTGGTGCCCTTCAGTCAGGTCCAGGTGGGTCTCCGGGAGGCAGGGGCAGAGCGGGACCCAGTGCCGGACCACGACGACCACAGTCTTTCTCCTCCAACTCCGACACATGGCCTGTCTCTGCACAGAATGTGGACCTGGTGCTGGCCGTCTGGGACCGCGGCCTGCCGCTCCGGGCTGAGCCCGTGGGCAAGGTGCACCTGGGTGCCCGGGCCTCGGGGCAGCCCCTGCAACACTGGGCAGACATGCTGGCCCACGCCCGGCGGCCCATTGCCCAGTGGCACCCCCTGCAGCCAGCCAGGGAGGTGGACCGCGTGCTGGCCCTGCAGCCCCGCCTGCGCCTGCACCTGCCCTTGCCCCACTCCTGAACGCGCCGCGTGCCTCGGTCTCCCCGCTGAGCCCAGGCACTTGCCCAGGCCGCCCTGCAGGACCACTGCAATAAACGCCTTCTCCTGCCACTGTGTGTCCGGCTGGAGCCTGGAGGGGATGCAGAAACAGGGCCTGGCTCCACTCGCCAGGGCCCCCCCACAATGACAGGGGAGGGGCTCCTCTCCAGAGTCAGCCAGGCCCTGAGGCCTCTGACTGGTCCCTGCCGGACCCTCCGGTAGGGGTGGGAAACCTGCCCACGAGCACCGATCCCCACCCCTGGGCCACGTGGGAAGACCTGGGAGGTGGGGGCCAGAGAGTCGGGACCACATGGGATGGGGCGAGCTAGAGCCAGCCCTGTAGGGACACAGTGGGCAGTGGTGTTTGGGGGCCTGTGAGCGTGGAGGGAGGACCCCCAGCACCTCAGAGACCAGCACTGCAGGGCCTTCCCCACATGAGCAGCAGGGGGCAGCAGATGCCTTCGGAAGTTGCTGGGGCCTTTAGGGGCTCAGTCCTGGCCGGATGCCCCTCCCAGGCCCCACACATCTGGGCTGCCTTAGCGGCTGGAGCCTCCACGCTGCTGTTTCCTCTGATCCTCCCCATGGGGCTGCGAAGCCGGCAGGGCTGGGGCCAACAGCCCCCACTCCGAGAGGGTGCCAAGTCACGGTCCAGGGGGCCTCTGCAGGGCGGGGGCCTGGGGGCTGGGGGGGTGAGGGCCGCCTCAGGGTCTGAGTGAGAAGGCAATGCCAGGCCTGCCCGGGCAGCCAGGCGGGCCCCAAGCCCCCGCAGGTCAGAGAGGCTCCCAAGGCAGGTGGTGCCACTCTCCTTAGGTTGAAGGATGTGTTCCAAGTCACCCGGCGAGGGGACAGTTCCAGGAAGGCTGGGAGGGGCCCAGAGGCACATGCGGCGTGCCCCTCACTCCTGGTCCTGCTCCCCAGGCAGGGAGATAGCATCACGCAAGGAGGGGGCAGCCCGCCAGCCCTCGGCCGACGTGGCGGAGCCTGGAAGGCCACGTCTGGAAGTCCAGGCCTCACCCCGGGAGCCAGGCTTGCCGAAGGGGGTCAGGCCTGGGCTGAAGTGGGAAACGGCCCGTTGCAGGGGCTGAGTGGGGAAGCTGGCCCAGCAGGGAGAGGCTGTGGCTGTCACCCAGCAAGCAGCCAGGTCGGTGGGCTGGACGCTGACCTCGGGCGAGATGGGCTGAGGCGAGGTGTGGATCCTTGCAGTGACCCCTCAGCTGACCCAAGCCGTGTGCCCAGCCGAGGCCACAGGCAAAGCCAGGCACACTGTCCTCAGGCTCCTTACAAGAACAACAGAGGCATCTCCAGCGCGTCACCAAGCCCTAAATAGAGCAGCCCAGCCATGGCATCCCCCACCAAGACTTCTTGGACTGGGCGGCAGCACGCGGCCAGGCCAGGCGGCCGGACAGGTGGGGAGGTCTCTGCGGCTCTCCGCGCCCCCATTGGTCTGAGGAGGACTCCATGCCCTTTCTGAGCAGGGGCCCAGCCTGGGGGAGGCCATTTATACCCCTCCCCCTGGGCCCACCAGCCCAACTCACTGCTGCCGGCCTGACCTCGCTCCCAGCCCTGCTGCCCAGATTCTAGGTGAGGCCCAGCCCGGCCCACCAAGGCCGGGGCACAGGATGTGGCTCGAGCTAGTTGAGGGAGGACTCCCTGGGGCAGGGGTCTGGGGGCCTGGGGGATGCCGCCAGCAGCCCTCTTTGGGGGCCTGCACGGATCCGGGAGTGAGAAGGAGAGGCTTGGGGAGGCAGCTCTAGTGCGAGGCAGGTTCTAGACAGGCCCTGACCACCAGGCTTCATCTCTGGGGACCCTGGAAGGAGAGTTTAGGGGTCAAGAAACCCCAGAACCTGAACCCCCAGGCCAAACTGAGGAGCGATTTCTTCCACGCACTTAGGCCCAAAGCCAAAGACAGAGGGTTAAAAATAACAGCGTCACTGAGGAGGCCACCTGTGCTGGCCCATCCCGCCCTCCCTCGGGGACAGCTGCAGCTCCTCAGGCTATGCCTGGGACATTTTGGGAACACTTTCTCCTCTTACTTCTCACCCTGGGGAATTCCAAGACATTGTCCTTGAAGGAGGTGAGAGTAGGGGGTGGGAGGGAGGGGCTGTCATCGGGAGGCCTGAACCCCTCACCACCTGATGGTCACAGGCATCGCGGCGGCAAGGGCCCGGCCAACACCCCTGCCTTCCTCTCCCCACAGGCTCCAAGCTCAGGACCTCAGGATGGGAGAGTAAGTAGCACCCCTGTACCCCCATACAGTGACCCTGCCCACCTCCTGCCCTGTCCACCCCATCACACGCTCCGACCCCGCCAGACATGGCCCTAACCTCTGTCTTCTCTCCCCGTCCTGCCTGCGTCCTCTCTCCCTGGACAGTGAGGAGGTAAGTACTTGCTGGGGGCTCAAAACAGGACGAGGAGGGAGCTCCCCCAACTCAGGATAGGTCATCGGTCACAGCCTCAAGGCCCTAAGGCCCAGGGAAGATGGCCCGGCCCTCCCCGCTGGCAAAAGTGCCCCACCCACCCACCAAGACGTAGCCGAAAGAGAGGAAGTGGCTGCCCCGAGCCTTCTGGGGCAGGGGAAGTGCGGCTGTGGCCTGGTCACAGGGGAATCACTTCTTCTTTCTGATTCCTGCACTTCCTGCCCCTACCTCGCCGGCCAACCTGCCCCCAACTGGCCTTGAGGCCTCCTCTCCCCCAACCTCTGGCCTCCCAGCACCATGTGCCACCTGGGCAAAGTGTCACACACCACACAGCGTGTCCCAGAGCAAGGTCTGGGGCCAGTGAGGCCCAGACTGCCCATCATGGCCTCGGGAGCTCCCAGGCTCCGCTGGTCCCTGAGCCGGAGCCCCTGACCTGGCCAGGGAGCCTGGAGAGGGGTGGGGGTGCTCCAGGCCTGGAGGCCCTGACTCAACCCCCTGTCCCCTGCCCTGCAGAAGCGGAACAGGGCCATCACGGCCCGCAGGCAGCACCTGAAGGTAGGTGTGGGCTCCCCGGGGGCCGCCCAGGTGGGTCTGCAGGGGGGCCAGCTGCAGCCCCCTCACCGCCTGCCCCGCCACAGAGCGTGATGCTGCAGATAGCGGCCACAGAGCTGGAGAAGGAGGAGAGCCGCCGCGAGGCCGAGAAGCAGAACTACCTGTCAGAGCATTGCCCGCCACTGCACATCCCGGGCTCCATGTCAGAAGTGCAGGTACTGGCCCCTCCCCGGCCGCCTCGCCTCCCCAGCAGCAGGCCTGCCTGCTACCTCAGTTTCCCCACTTTTGTCAAGAGGGCCAGCGGGGTGGTCAGGGCAGGGGCAGGTGACCATGGCTGCCAAGTGTCAAGACGGTCACCGGCCCCCACACCCGCCCCTAGGAGCTCTGCAAACAGCTGCACGCCAAGATCGATGCGGCTGAAGAGGAGAAGTATGACATGGAGGTGAGGGTGCAGAAGAGCAGCAAGGAGGTGAGTGGTGGGCGCAGGCGGGCAGCAGGCGGGCAGGCAGTGGCCCAGCGGGCAAGTGGGCGGGCCAGGGAGGCCGAGGCCACCAGGACCTCAGGCTTCCACCTGGCTCTCCTGCCCACAGCTGGAGGACATGAACCAGAAGCTGTTTGATCTGCGGGGCAAGTTCAAGCGGCCCCCGCTGCGGAGGGTGCGCATGTCAGCTGACGCCATGCTCAAGGCCCTGCTGGGCTCCAAGCACAAGGTGTGCATGGACCTGAGGGCCAACCTGAAGCAGGTCAAGAAGGAGGACACAGAGAAGGTATGTGCCGCGGGGGGAGCACCACCACACCTGCCCTGCCAGGGGAGCACCTCCCACACCTGCCCTGTCCCTGGGGAGCACCTCCCACACCTGCCCTGCCAGGAGCCCTGCACCACTGCCCCTTCAGGGTGCCATGCAGGCGACACTCCACTGCCCAAAGCAGAGGGTAAACTGAAGCTGAAGGTGGTGTGGACCAGGGTGCACGCATAAGTGGGTGGGCCTGAGCTCTCTCCTGCCTTCCCCTCCACAGGAGCGGGACCTGCGAGACGTGGGTGACTGGAGGAAGAACATCGAGGAGAAGTCTGGCATGGAGGGCCGGAAGAAGATGTTTGAGTCCGAGTCCTAGGCTACTCACTGCCCCCACGCCTGCCCCGGTGCCCGGCTCGCAGCAGAACATACTAGGGGGATGCACCCAGAGCCTGCCAGGGAGGGCTGGCCTCACCCCCTCTGTCAATAAAGGATTTGAATCCCCGTGGCTGGTCTGGTCTGGCTCTCCCCAGCTTCATCGGCCGTGCTCTGGACCCCCGCATCTGTGGCCTGCAGTGTGGTCAGTGGCCAGCGGGGAAAGCCCGGGAGGAGGCCACACGGGGCCTGGGGATTTCAGGCTGGGAGGGAAGCTGCTTCCAGCAAGGAGGTGAGCCTGGGAAGGCCCCTACAGGGGAATCCACCCCAGGCTGCATGGGGCTGGTTGGTGAGGGCCCTGATAGGTCCCTTGGCGTTCCTGGGGCTCGGCCTGGGCACGTCCAACACGCAGGGCTGGGGACGGAGGCTGTGGGACCGAGCCAGGTCTGGGTGGGAGTTCCCGAGATGAGCAGGTCTCCCATTTGCACAGTCATCCAAAGGCCCTGCCGGGGCTCCAGAGAGATCCACACATGTGACACACGCATAGCCGCCGCAGTGCTGGGGGCGGCCCCCTATTCCTCCCAAGCTGCCCCTCCTCAGGGAGCTCATCTGAGGCAGGAAGCCAAGGGCTACATTAGACCCCAGGCTGCTGTCCACATGTGCCCACCCCCAGATCCTCCTGCTCATCCCCATCCCACATCACTTTAGGGGCAGACCCCCAGCCCCGGGGCCTCCCTGCTTTTCCTATCTGCCCCCTGCCCTGAGGGCTGAGGCCTGAGTTGGGGGTAGGGCTGGGCACGGGGAGCGTGGAGGGGCGAGCCTGCATGGCGGGCCGTGACCAGGCCAAATTGGTAGTCTCCGGGCTGGGGACCAGCATGGTGCTGGGGGCTGGCCGGCCTGGTCACTGGTCCTTACCGCCACCCTGAAAGGCAGGCTGTGTCACTCCTCACCATGCCAGGGGACCAAGAGACCTGTGCCCATCGGGCAGGGGCTGGTCCTGGCCCTGACCTGGCCCCAGTGCAGTTCCCAAGTCTTTTTTCCACTCAGCCCCAAGATCCCAGCCCCATCTGGCCACCAAGGACAAGGCAGTTGACAGGTCCTGACAAGACCGGTGACAGCAAGGCCTCGTTATCAGCCCTGCTCTTTGAAGGTTGACAGAGCAGGCACGCCAAGGTCCCTGTGCTCTGATCTGCTCTGGGGAGCTGCCAGCCCGCGCTCTGCCCTTGTCCCTGTGCTCTGATCTGCTCTGGGGAGCTGCCAGCCCGCGCTCTGCCCTTGTCCCCGGGAGGTCTGTTCGACTGATCTGCCGGAGGTAGGACGTGCAGCAGCAGTTCCGCCTCGGGCTGCCTTGAGGGACTGACGTCAGTGGGCGCCTGGAATGGCCTTGGCTGTGTGCAGTCCCCTGCCCCCCCGGGCACCCTCCAGCCCTGGCACTCAGCTCTGACCTTTTCTGTAGCTGGAGCCCCACGCCAGTCCGAACCCCCCACCCGGGGTTTCTCCCGGAGCCTTCTGTAGGGGAAGGCATGGAGCAGGGCGGCTTGGGGCCAAGGGGGCACTGCCTGGTGGGTGCAGCCATGGTGGAGGTGCATGGCACCCCATGCCAGGATGATGGGACCAGGCACGGCCCAGGGTGTAGGAGGCCGTGGGGCACAGAAGAGACCTGGCCTGTGGGGGGGACGCTGCACAAGGCCAAGCCTCAGCTGTGGCCTGAAGGAGGACAAGTGCGGAGGCAGAGGGTGCTGCAGGCCGGAGCACGTCGCATACAGAACCAGGCGGGCAGCAGGCAGAGCAAGGGACAGGCGGCCGTGGGGCCTGACCTCGGACTCCTTGCAGGGGACACAGCAGCTTTCCAGAGCCTGTGCCCACCGGGAAAGGGGGCTGGACCCGAACCCACAGGGCATTAGAGGAGTGTGGCAGAGGAGCTGGGGTAGGAGCATCACACCTGGCTCCCAGCCTCAAGACTCAACTCGGCCGGGGCAGACGTGCTATGCGGGAGGATAATCTTTTTTATTTCAAAGCAAGGAAACGTTGAACACAAACACGAAATTCCAAAGAGTGACCCTCTGGGGTGGGTGGGGTGGGGGCAGAGCAGGGGCGGAATGGAGAGGACCCCTACGCTGATGTAGGTTTGGGGAATGTTTTAATTCTTGGGCTAGATAGTAGATGCACGGGTGTTTGTTAAATTTCCAACAAATGAGTGAGGGAGTAAATGAAGGAGTAAGTGAGAGGCCTGTGGAAAGCAAGCCAGCAGATATCAAACCGGCGCCCCCTGAGCCCGGCTCCTTCCCCCTCGGGTGATGCTGGTGTCCCTGCTGGAAGTGAGGCCTGCGGCCAGTGCTGCGTGTGGCTGTCCCCCAGCTCTGCATTCTAGAAAGACTTCAGCAGGGTGGAGCACAGAGCAAGTCACCGCTGGGTCGGGGGAGTGAGGAACGGAGACATGGAAGAGGCTGGGTCCCCAGGACTTGTTGGCTGAGGGACGTGAGGAAGGCAGGCACCTGCTGGGGGCACGGGTGGGCAGGGACTGTTCTCCAGGGCAGGAGCCCTGAGAAAGTAGCTTTGGGAGGAGGTGAGCCACTCACTTTGGGGCTGCTGGGTTTGGGGGCCCTGTGGAAATTCCTAGGGGAGAGCTGGCCCAGGCAGCCGGAGCCGTGCTGGGCTGGAGATGTGGATGTGGGTGTCCTGGGTGGTGAGCCGATGGGCAGAGGTGCCCAAGGCCAGGGCGAGAGGAGAGGAGGGGGAGGGTGGGGACAGCCAGGGCAGCTGGGGCAGCCACCACGAGCCCCAGGGTAGTCCCAGAAGAGGAGGGGGACAGGCCCAGGGCAGGGGATGTGGGCAGGCCTGTGCATGACTCCGGAGGTCAGGGAGGACATGGCCTCTGAAGTCCTGGGTAACCCGTGCTGGGCTGTGGCCAGGAAGGGGTTGGGGAAGACTGGGCACAGTGGGCCAAGGAGGGAGGGGTGGGAGGAAGTGCACGGGGCACCCCTGGAAGTTGCGGCTGCTGGAGACAGAAGGCAGGGGTTCCTCGGGGAAGGCAGGCGTGGGTGCAGGGCAGGTGTGGGTGCTTCTGCACACGTGGGCGTTTCCTGCTCTGAGACTGAGCCACCCAGACGCAGACACCCCAGTATCAAGGAGCACATCAGGCCCCAGGCCCTGTTCTCTAAAACCATCCTCCCCTGAAGGACCCAGGGCTCCTCGGAAGAAGGGTTGACTGCAGGGCGGGGCAGGAAACGTGCAGGAAGAGCCTGCCATGTCCTTTCTGCTAGGAGGCCGCGGTGACGCAGAGGGCCTGCCCTGTGCCCCCGCCGATGGGAGCGGCCATCAGGACACAGACTGGCAGACAAGATAACACGCAGCGTCCGCGGCGAACGTGCTCAAGTTCACGGCTGCACTGTGGTTACACAAAACATCTGCATTCCAAGGAAACAGACCTTAAAGTCTTTAGGAGGAAAGGAGGGAGACAGAGAGGCAGAGAGACGGAGACAAAGAGAGAGAGACAGAGACAGAGAGACACAGAGACGGAGACAGAGACACAGAGACAGAGACAGAGAGACACAGAGACAGAGAGACAGAGAACAAGAGACAGAGAGAGACAGAGACCGAGAGGCAGAGAGGCAGTGAGACAGAGGCAGAGAGAGAGATAGACAGAAACACACAGAGACAGAGAGACAAGAGACAGACAGACAGACAAAGACACAGAGGCAGAGAGACACAGAGACAGAGAGACAGAGACAGACAGAAAGATAGACAGAGATGGAGAGACACAGAAACACAGAGACAGAGAACAAGAGACAGAGAGAGACAGAGACCGAGAGGCAGAGAGGCAGTGAGACAGAGGCAGAGAGAGAGATAGACAGAAACACACAGAGACAGAGAGACAAGAGACAGACAGACAGACAAAGACACAGAGGCAGAGAGACACGAACAGAGGCAGACAGAGAAAGAGAGAGAGATTCAGAGAAACAGAGAGAGGCTGACAGGCGGAGAAGCAGGGGTCGAATGGCAAAGTGGACGTGTGCCCTGGGTGAGGGGGGTACAGATGCACCTTGTCAAATTCTTATTCTTGAAACTTATCTGTGGGTTTGAAATTATTTCCCCCAAAGCTAAACTTTTCTTTAAACGTTAAAGCAATACAATTTGTAAGCAACAACAAAAACAGACGACATGAAAACCACCACAAGTTAACAGAGAGGACCTCACAGGGCTCAGGTGTGGGTAGAAAGGTGCCCCAGAGGGTGTGGGGGACTTCGGGGGTGGTGGGGGAGGCTGAGGACTGCGTGTGTGCCCCTGGCTGAGGGCCAAGGGCGGGGCTGGGTGCCAGGCCTCCGGGGACACCTTGGTTAGGGTTGGGGTTAGGTTTAGGGCCAGGGATCCAAGGCTGGAAAGTTGCCCTTCAGGGACAGCAGGAGGGAGGCCCGGATGCCCTGGGCAGGGTGGGCGCTGGGTGGAGCTAGGACGAGGCAGGTCACGGGGCTTTGTTCTCTCTGCAGGGCTGAATTCAGAGGGGCTTCCCCCTGACCTTCACCCTCACACACTCGGTCAAGGGGAAGCCAGGAGTGGGGTCCCAGAGGGGGACACAGAGCTCTCCCATGAATGTCCACCTGCTGGACCCCCTGTGTGGTCCTCAGGGGTTCACTGGGCCTCCACTGAGGGGCCCCAGGATCAGGGCTGGGCTTCACGCTCTCTCCCCAGCTGTGCCTCACCCCTGACCTGTCCAGCCCTGTGTCCTTTTTGTTCCCCTGGCACCGGCTGTGCCTGGGCCCAGACGCCACCTTTGCAGGCCGGTGCCTGGCTCCAGCCATCCTTGGAAAGCTGAGCCCGGCACTTGCCAGACCTCACCCACTCCTCCGGCTCCAGCTCTCACCAGACGGCCCTGGAGCCCAGGGTTCGAGCTGCCTCTGTGGCTCAGCCCCCACTCCACCCCAACGGGGTGCCCAGCCTTGGTTTACCCAGACGTACGATGAACATGGAGATGAGAGCGTCTGCCTCACTGGACCATCTGGTAGGCATGGACCCGGCTGGCACCTCCTGCCTCCCTAAGCTCCTCGCCTACCATGCCCCCCAGAGTCAGCCCGACTCTCCCCCAGCCCCAGCAAGGCCTGGCTCGGCCCCCTGTACCACCCAGCTGCAGGA